CCCCAAGTTCCACAGTAACCCCGGTTCCGACAGTTCCGCATAACAGTAGAAGAGAGAGAGAGAGAGAGAGAGAGAGAGAGAGAGAGAGAGAGAGAGAGAGGGTTAGAACCAGCTAAATGACAAACGGCCTTGAACCCCTCGGCAAACATCCGTGAAAGTTTTTCTTTCCGTTCTTTCCCGGGATTTCGCGCCAAAATCTGGCCCGGACGGGATACGGTAGACCGAACGGAACGTGGCGTACACACAAAAGGCAGACAAGTGAGAGAAAGAGATCGAGGGAGAGAGATAGCAAGAGAGATATAGTGCTAGAAAAACCCCCAGAAACAAGGGCCCGGGATGCCCTTGATGTGTGCGTTGAGCGCGCGCTTGTCGCGCGCCGCGCGCAGACATGCTAGACAGGAAGAGAGAGAGAGAGAGAGAGAGAGAGAGAGAGAGAGAGAGAGAGAGAGAGAGAGAGAGAGAGAGGGAGAGAGAGAGTGAGTGAGAGATCCAGACAAAAACGGAAAAGACAGGGCAACCCGCCGAAAAAACCTTGGCCGGCAAGAAAGGGGGAAGACGGATGACCGGCCCGTTTTTCGCCAGGGCCCTGGGAAATGTGATGGGCGTCGAGAAAAAGTGCGGGGACTGGCTCCAAAATTGTCTAATGGTTTTTGAAGGTATTAAAAGGCCAGAATGCCGTTTTTTTTACCTGACACGCGCCTTTGACACGACTAGCCAGCGTGTGAATCAACCCCTTTGCTCGGCCAGGTCTAGACAGCTACGCGGCGCTCGAAATCAGGTTTTCCTTGCTTTTTTATGCTCCCGGTTATGAGGATCAGATGCGCACGTGACTTCACGTAGGTGTCGAGACCTAGTCTGGGAAAGGGGTCGATTTTAGCATCGAATAACCGGTTATTTTTTCCTTTTTGTTATGAAAATGTTATGCAAGCTGGCAGAGATTCTTTGCAGAATTACTGCTCTCAAAATTTGCGGCTTTTAAAGGGCGAGACAAGGCACTACCATGGATTGGGCTAGGGACCGCGCAAAAAGCTTGAGACAAGGCTTGAACCTAAGCCTACGCCTACGGTTAAGCATCAGCCTGAGCTAAGCTTAAGCTTAAGCCTGAGCCTAAGTCTCAACTTAAGCCTAAGCCTAACCTAAGTCCAGGCCTAAAGCTAAGCTGAAGCCTTAGCCCACGCCCAAGCGTAATTAGGCCTACAAGGAAGCAGTGCCTGGATTCGCGTAGCTTCGCCTTCAAAAGTGTGATGCAACGTTTCAACCTTAAAGGGGCGGTGAACCTTCAAATCTATAGTGAAATCACTCCCCCAGCAGCTGCCAAATCCCATCAAAAGGGGACAAAGGGAGGAAAAGACATCAGAAGAAGCGCTGGCCACTGACCGGCCAGGTACCACCAGGCTGGGTCCCCGGCTGGCTGGGGCCCATGGGCCCAGCCTAGGGCCCAGGCAATGAGACCCGAGGCGAGAGAGCGTGGCCAGGCGAGCGCACCCAGACACCCGGATCGATCCCCGCAGTTTTTTTAAGCCCAGCGCCCCAATGGTTTCTTCTTCTGGCTGGCTGGGGGCCAGACTTTTTTTGCGGTGGAGAGAGAGAGAGAGAGAGAGAGAGAGAGACGCTACGAGCCGCTCCCCCTAAAAACCGAACGGGCAGACGGCCTTTTTGCCAGCCGGGGACCCTGGGACCCATGGAGCTTTTTGCGAAATGCGCTGGCCGCCCGCCAAAGTGGGGGACCGCCAGAAAATTCGACCCGGGGGTCGGCTGGAAAAACTCGCTGAATGTTTTAAGGGCCTCAACGATCTCTGCTAGCCAGCCCTCATTTGTGCAAGTTCCGCCCGGAACCTCTGCTAGTCTCAAGGATCCCTGCTAGCATGCCCCTATCTGCTCAAATTCCTTTAAGAATCTCTGCTGGCTTGCATGGATATGACACATTATCCAAGACCTTGGCTAGCGAACTCCGATCTTCCAAAATTCCGCAAAGAAGCCCTGCTAGCTAGCCCTCATCTACTCAAATTTCACAAAAAAGCCCTGTTAGCTAGCTCTCTCTTGAAATTCCTCAAGAAATCTCTGCTAGCTAGCCCTAATCTGCTCAAATTCCGCAAAGTAGCTCTGTTAACCTGCCATCATCTGCAAAAATTCCGCAAAGAAGTTCTGCTAGTTTACTTCGACACTGCGAATTCCTCAAAGATTTCTGGCATCTCGGTACGGCTTACGAATTTTTAGACAATGTTTGGTAACCTGCTTGCCCTCGAGTTCCCCGAATTTTCAATTCCTCAAATTTCTCTGCCAGTTTGCCCGTACTGCCAATGCCGAAACGTTACTCAAATAATTTCTGCTAGCATTTTGTGGGGGCAGCCCCCGATTGAAAAAGCTAAACAAATTTGCCAATTTCAGAATTCCCTAAATCCCCGTTTTTGGCAATCGGCTGCCCACGGAATCGGCCTTTACCTGAATGTATGCACAGCTGGGACTCAATCTCGCGCTCGCTCGCTCTCTAGCTCGCTCTCTCTCTCTGTCTCTCGCTCACGATCTCCCTCTCTCTCTCTCTCTCCCTCTCTCTCTCTCTCTCTCTCTCTCTCTCTTTCAATCTCAGCATCACTCGCGTTGGAATGTTTGGCAGAATTGCCTGAAAGGGCGAACGAAAAGGGCACTTTTTAGCGGTCTCCCCCATCTGAAGCTGATGACTTATCCATTTTGTTGTGCGTGTGGGGGGCTGGTTGGCAATACGCCAAAAATTGCGAACACGTGTCCTTGATTTGAGCCAGATGGATCTGAAATGGATGGGTATGGCCTTTCGCTTAGGCTTGAGGAGGAGCTTAGGCTGAGGCTTAGGCTTGAGCTTCGGCTTGAGCTTCGGCTTGAGCTTCGGCTTGACCTAGGCTTAGGCTTGGGCTTAGGCTAGGGCTTAGACTTAGAATTAGGTTGGCTTCGCTTAGGCTTAGGCTTGGACTTCGAACTAGGCTTAGGCTTCGTGTTTGGCTTAAATTTAGGCTTAGGCTTAGGCCCAAGCCTAGTCTTAGGCCTGGGCTGTGGCTGTGGCTTCGGCTTAGGTCCAAGCCTAGATTGCTTGACTGAAGTGTCGAGGAGAGTCGAGGAGAAGGGTCGATGCGGGGCCATTTAAAGCCGCTTGACCCGAGCGCGTTTTCAATGTCCGGCTCACACTCCCCCGTAGGGATAAGCCTGGATCCGGTGGGTGTGTATGTTTGCATGGATGTATTTTGGGCCTCTCAACATTCCGCTCCGGGCCCGATGTAAAAAAGGAGTAGCCGGTTGAAGCCCTGATTAAATGGGAGGGAAGGCCCACCCTGGGCCAGACAGCTCGTTTTTTCCGCTTTCATCCACTGAACGGGAGCAGGGGACCTTTCAGAGAGGGATAGAGAGAGAGAGAGAGAGAGAGAGAGAGAGAGAGAGAGAGAGAGAGAGCGAGGCCCGGGGGCCGCTAAAATATTGGCCCCGGGCCAAAGGGAGACCCCCAAGAAAAGGAGCAGCAGCTGCCCGCAGGTGGCGACTAGGGAGCTCCTTCTTGGAGTTGGTACCGGGTTGGGATCAACTTCGATGAGGAGGGTCTGATCGAAAATCAAAGATTCAGGCGGAGTGGTAGGATCCAACTAAAGGTGGCGCGACAGCACTCTCAGTCAGTCAGTCACTCTCTCTCTCTCTCTCTCTCTCTCTCTCTCTCTCTCTCTCTCTTTTTCTCTCTCTCTATCACAATTCTCTGTCTCTCTCACAAGCCGAAAAATCACGTTCGGAAGCCAGGGCTTATCATAAATGATACCTGGAACCGACCGGATGACGCCCGCCTGGAGCGTGAACCCCCTCGACAAAAAGTGATAAAGAAATCTTTGGCAGCCGATCTGAGTGAACACGAGCTAGCCAAACCCCTAAAAACCAGGCTCCAAAATTGCAAAAACGAGTGCAGGGGAGCAGAAAAAATAGTATACAACAATTCTAGACCGAGAGATTGGGATAGAGAGAAAGAGAGAGAGAGAGAGAGAGAGAGAGAGAGAGAGAAAGAGTGTGAGAGCGCGCGTGCAATATAGATAGGGCTATAAGCAGAGAGCAAATGAAAGTCGGAATATTCTTGCAACATCGATAGGTTTAGGCTTGAGCTTAGGCTGAATCTTGGGAGTCAGCTTAGACTCAGACTGAGGCTGAGGCTAGCTTATTATTAGCTTTCGCCCTATCTCTCTTCTCCCTTGTCTCCCGTTTGGTCCTTCAATCTATCGTGTAGCTAGCACTAAGACTCGGTCTTACTACAGTTCCTGGCTCGGACAAACGCTGATACCGACACTGCGTGGCACGTGGTCTCAAAGACCATAGCTGTAAAACCCAAAAAGTGCCCGATAAAGCTTAAAAATAAACATTATTTTTGGATCGGGATAAATCACCACAAAACTGGCTTTACTTCCAGTTTGCAAAGAGGGTACCCGCGGAATTGGCGAGGATGTGGTGCGCCGCGATGCGGAACTATGATGTCATTATGGGAAATTTTTCTTAAAAGGGGCTTGGCTCTGTCGCAAAGTTTTGCCATTTGAAAGTTGAAAAAAAGTTTGCGCAAATTTTACAGCATACAATAGAGCTACGTTGGGCTAGGGCCAGCTTAGGCTTAGGCTTTCGTTAGGCTTCGGCTTAAAGCCTTAGTTCGCCAAATTCCTTTATTATCGCCTAATTCCAAATCCGTGTCTTGGAGTACCGCGTAGCTGTCTAGACCCGGTCGGGGTAGGAGTTGATTCTCGCGTTGTTCTAGCCTAAACACGAAACTTCCAGGATGCTCGTCAAGTCTGCCGCCGCGTCGCCATCCTGCCGATCCTCCAGTTGGTTGAGCCGTTCTGCGAGCAGTTCCTCATCGGGCTGATGAGTCGGTCTTCTTTTTTAATACCCTTTAAAAGTCGTACCTATGATGGATGCGGAAGACACTTGTGCGGCACTTTCTAGGATTTCAAATATATTTTTAAACGAATATTTAAAGCACCTAGTTGACTGCGCTTCCAGAAACCTACTATGTCATGTTCCCGAAATTCATCCCCAACCCGAGATACTGCCGAAAGCTGCGAATTTGCGGCTGCGACGTGCCTATCCCGACGACGGCACCGAACAATTTGTAATGGTTTTCGGATCCTTTTACCGTTCTTTTTGCCTCCTGAAATTGAAACGATTCAGCACGACCTACAACATGACCGATTCGAATCCGGTGCTTGATCTACTCGAGACATATCGACAACTAGGAAAGCTCTACGATGAAAACTACGAGGCACGCCAAAAATTTGATGAGAGAGCCCTATAAACGGTTTCAGGCACGTTACGAAACTATTTATGAAGGCAAAACATTAAAACACGCACAAACACAATCCAGGCGCACCCGGTCGAACAGAGCAATTTCAATTTCTTTTTTTTGCTGGAGTTTCGATACATAACGAACCGAAAACCAATAAATTATGACAATGCGAAGTGGCGGACGCAGAAACACACAAAAACTGCCACACCGGCCAGGGGGTAAGCTCAGAATTACAAAGCGAAGCGGGGCACACCAACACGCAAACTGCCAATTATGATATTTTTCAAGGCGCATACGGTAAAGCAGATAGCACAGGACATATCACCAGAGAAATGGGGGCGAGCAGAAGGATAGCAGAGCGAAAAGGGGAACAGATCGAGATGGCATCGAGAGAAAAACGGAAAAGCGATACCGAGGATCAGTTATTATTTGGTCGTGTAGAGTTGGCGTCTAGAAGAACTTCTTGTGGATGATCTTCTTGCCCTCATCCTCGTATTCGCTCTTGCTCACCCACATTCGCCTGAAAGGAAATGGTATAGCGGGAGGGGTTCTTTCGCATTATAGGGGGAACCAACTTTTTTCCCAGGATTTATTTTCGTTTTTTTTCGAAAGAGAGAAGGTCTTTCTAAACAGTTTTTCCCTAGTCCTAAACGTGAAATATTGACAAATTTTCCTTCAAAGCATCAAAAATATAGATTTTTGCCAAAATTTCGACAAAAAACAAAAAACTTGAAAAAAGCAAAAATTAATACCTGAAGGTGTCCAGTGAAGCCAAAATCGATCCGCCAATCCATGTCGAATGAATGCGCTCTTGTGGCGCCGAAATCTTCACCTTCGTGTCGGTCGGCGCCAACTTTTGCATCTGAAAAATTTTGAGATTTTAGGAATTCCGGTCGTATCGCTAAATTACGGATCCTTATTACCAGATCGCCTCAACGTAGCAAAAGCCTTACATCTGCCAACAATCGCGTGCCGAACCCTTGAAACATCGTCGAGCCGCCGCTGAGCACAATGTTGGCGTAGAGGGTCTTGCGCAGGTCCATGTCACATTTCTGCAAAAAAATTAGGATCAGCAGCGCAACACACGCACAAATAAACCGGGGAAACACGGTCTTTTCAAAAAAAAACATGACTTCGAAAGTCACTTTTAAAAGCCAATAATTCACAAACCGCTACTGGCAGTTTGTTTGGTTTCCGCGAGTCGAAATGCCAAAAAAACCATAAATATTGTCACCGCATCGGTGATCACACAACACCAAATGGAATCGGTTCCCACCATGAAAGCTATAAAACGCCAACACGACCCCGCTCCACGGAATAATGATGAGACGACAGTATAAAGGCAAAACGATGTGAAATAAAGCAGAGACCAACATTTCCTAAACCCTGAAATTGCACACTGAATTCCTAAACTGCATTTAACACGACAATTGGCGACCACGGAAGGAGTCGAAACAATGATTTCCGAAGTCATGACGGGCAGCAATAAAAACGTGTAAATGGTCTCACCCGAATTGCGTTGTCGATACAAACGGCAACGCCGGGCCATTCCTCGCCGATGATGTCGGGCCGGAAAAGGACCTGAAAGAGGCAAATAATCCAGTTATCAGCAAGCGCTCTTAACTCAAGACGAAACTCACCTCAGGTGCCCTGAATCGAGACGCCCGCATATCCATCCACGACCCGTCGGGTAGTTGACATTTCACCTGAAACCAAATGTTGAGGTTTAAAATCCAATTTCACCTCCTTATCCCCTTCATTCTGCTCTTCCTTGCTGGAGTTGGCGGCGACATAGCAGACCTTTTCCTTGATCTCGCGCACAATCTCGAACTCGGGGCTCGTGTGCAGGTTGTGGCCTTCTTTTTGCAAAAGCATTCTCAAGAATCGGGTGACATCTCGACCCGCCACGTCCATACGCTCGATCCTAAAATGGGGGAATAGAGAAGGAGCGCTTTTTCATGAGGCAGAAGAGTCATGTGAGTAAAATGAACCCGTGATGCACGGCAAATCCCTCGTAAATTGGGACAATGTGCGTGACGCCGTCGCCCGAATCGACAATCACTCCCGTCGTTCTTCCCGAGGCGTAAAGCGCCAACACGGCTTGCATTTGGATGTGTAGCGCGGGGGCGTTGAACGTTTCGAAGAAGATTTCCGCGGCCTTCTCGCGGTGTTTGCTGGGATTGAGCGGGGCTTCGGTTAGAAGGACCGGATGCTCCTCGGGGAAAACCTGGAACGAAAAGTGTGAACGAAAACCGAAATTTGCCTACGTTCAACTGTTCCTTGCTGTAGATGTATTGCCACACTTTCTCCATGTCATTCCAATCCGTCACGATGCCGTGCTCCATTGGGTAGCGTAGCGAAAGTAGACCACGGTTGTCTTTTGCTTTCGGGCCTAGAGGGGGAAATTAATTTGCATCAACGCGATTACCTATAAAAATATCGCCCTCCAGCGCTCCGGCCATTACGCGCTTGTACTTGGGCCGACCCACATAGTTGGCGAAGGCAACCTAGAACAAAAATATAGCTAGAAGAAAGCAATCGAGCCGTGCTCGAGCCAAAAACGTACTTTTGGCGCGCTCTCGCCGGCGAACCCGGCCTTGATCCCACCACTTCCATTGTCGATGACGACGGGCTGGTTGGCAATTACCTCCATGCTTTTCTAAAAACAAATAATAAAAAGTTGGACACAAAAACACACCTGAATAGTTGCCTAGCTGACGGGGGCCCGGAAGACCTCGCTTCACCGAACTACCCTGCAAAAGGGGGATTATGTTTACCAAACGTGCTAATTCAGAAAGTTTCAGAAAAAAAAGAGAAAATACTGCAAAAACAACCCATTAAAGTGTAGTAACTGGCTTCTGGGGTTTAAAAATAAGACGTACTAGGCTAAGCAAAAATTTACATTGGCAATTCCCGGTTTAACTACAAACTACAACCGTTCTCCCATCGCCATTTCGCAAGCCCCCAAACCCCAAATTCGGCGCCCTTTGAGTGCAAACTTGAGCGGCAAGGCGGGGGTACAGTGGAGAGAGCGCGCAATAGCGGGTGCTGCCCGGGCGGCAGATCCCACTGAAAACTTTTGGAGTACTTTTCGTTCCTAATGACAATCTAACAATTAAAAATTAACAAATTCACAACAAACAAAACAATTAACAATTTTAATTGGTTTTTTTCAGGATGGGAAAAGCCCGACTCTCCGGCCGAATCGCGTTGAGTGCCCCAATCAACTTGGCCGACACGCTGAAAGGCGGCCAGACTTTTCGGTGAGTTTTTGCATCGACTTTTGATCTATTTTGTACTTGTTACAGATTCCGTAAAATCGATGATCAACCCTCGTTCTGTGGCGTTTACAAGGGCACGTTGCTGGAGTTGACCGAGCCGGGCCCCTCATCGGAGGTGCGTGATTCCGGTGTCGTAATCGGTTATGCGTTTCAGATTCTCTATCAAGTGCACGGCTTCTCGCCGGGACGATTTGGTGAATTGAAGGCGTTTCGCAGGTTTGAGATGCTACAGGCCGAGGTCGAGCGTCTGATCAAAGAATATCTCTGCGTTCGTTTTTCAATAGAATCTATTCATTGATTTTTCTAGATCGACCTGAACGTCGACGAATTGAAAACGATCGTCAATGCGGCTTCAAACAATGTCGAGCTCCACTCACCGACGGCTTTTCATGTAGGAATGGAAAGAACTGGTTCAAAAACCTTTATTTAGGTCAGGGTGCTAGCCCAGGAGCGCTTCGAAACGCTGATCGCATTTATTACTAGCGCCAACAACAACATTGAAAGGATTACAAGTAAATTAATCAATATACCCCATTTATGGCAGCTAATTACGCACTTCAAGGCAGTTACTTTTTAGAACTACTCGGGAAATTGTGCTCAACCTTTGGCGAAGAAATCTATCCGCTTGAATTTGATGATAAAGGAAGGTTTCGGTTATTAGACGAGGTAAGTCTTGCAAAACAACTTTGAAAAACGCAGTCTAGGGTTGTCCGATCTTCCGCTCAACGCACGAAAACTTTTCGCACGCCTTCCCGACGGCCCGGAGGATCTGGAAATTGGGTGGTGAATCTCCGGAAAAGCTGTCTACTACGCTGCGAGAGATGGGATTTGGCTATCGTGCTAAATACATTGCGTAAGCGGTGCTTGATTTTATGTATTTTTCTTTGTAGCAAAACGGTGCAGATTCTGGCCGAGGACGAAGGGCACCCATTCTACGCTGATTACGATCGAAACAGTTTGGAAGAGTACGAAAAATGCACGACCATGCTGCAAACGCTGCAAGGTGTCGGCAAAAAGGTATTCACCCTCATTCCTTTTACCGAACCATTCAGGTGGCCGACTGCATCGCGCTGCAGGGCTTTCAGTTTGGCTGTGCTGTGCCGATTGATGTCCACATCCGAAGGGTTTTAAAGCCAAATATAACTTGAAATTTTTTGATTAGATTAGCATTAACGAATTCCGCGTGGCCGGCTTCACCAAGTTGAAGTTGGATAGGGCCTTGACGGGCACGGATTATCGAATAATTGGTGCGTCGAATTTTCAAGGCAGGGGAAACCTTCATAAATCCACAAACTGCGGTGCTGTTCTTTTTTGAATTAACGAACAATCAGTAATATATTGCAGCCGACTTCTACCGTACCACCTTTGGCCATCACGCCGGACTCGTTCAACAAGTGATGTTCGTCTACTCGTTGCATAGAAGCAAGGCCTCCACGCACGGTATTTCAGTTATTTGATTTTTTACGATATTTTAGTCGCTCTTAAGCCCGAGAAAGAGGCCCCGAAACGTAAACTGGCGCCGACGGATGCGAAGGATACGCTGAGGAGGCGTACAAGACGGAACTGACCAAAAAAACGCCCACCCTTGCGCTGCTGTCGATTTTGAGCGGTGATAAATTGCATTTTCTGTGTTTCGAAAAACGAGATCTTTCACCCGTCCGAATTTTCGCGAAAATTCGGGTCTTTTGTCTAGTAGACTACCAATTTACCAATTACCAAATATCGAAAAATGCCGACATTCCGACACCCAATGTCCGAATTTCTCGCAAAAAAACGGGTATAAGTAGTCTACAAACCACAAAATGTCGAAAATTCGGCTTTCTGTATGACAGACTACGAACTACAAAACACTACACTACGCAGAGGAGCCGAACAAGACGAAAATGAGCAATAACGCGCTATGCTGGATAGGGATATGCATATGACCAACGCTTCGAGTTTACCGGTGGCATATTAACATGGACCAGGGTTGAAAAGCCGCTTCGCGACTTTTCAACCCTGGCCCCGTCTCGGACCCCATACTATCCTTCCCTTTGCATACTTGTCCTTCATTCAGAAGACAAAAAAATGAGAAACAACTCCTTTTGCCTCTTTATATAGACGACTGCCCACTTCCGGTCTATGCTAATTATTTCTAACGAAGAGGTTTTTACAAAAACCTAAATTTAATAGCGAAAATGGCTAATTTTTCAAAATCTGATATGTGTGCAGTCATCCCTAGACCATTACGCACCTAATGACGTATCATACGTAGCCTAATATCCGTCCCTTCTTGAGATACCAGATGGTTCCAGTCGCTTCGCGACTGTAACCATCTGGCCTTCGGGTTACCCTTGATGTAATACACCTAACTATCCACCTACTTCTACTAACTACCTAAATACCTTCCCGAAGGCTTTAGATACGCCCCCTAGCTGAAATCCCTTTCAAAAACTACCTAAATACCTTCCCGATGGCTTAAGATACCCCCCATGGCTGAAATCCCCTTCAAAAACTACCTAAATACCTTCCCGATGGCTTAAGATACCTCCCCTAGCTGAAATCCCTTTCAAAAACTACCTAAATACCTTCCCGATGGCTTAAGATACCCCCCATGGCTGAAATCCCCTTCAAAAACTACCTAAATACCTTCCCGATGGCTTAAGATACCTCCCATGGCTGAAATCCCCTTCAAAATCAACCTAAATACCTTCCCGATGGCTTAAGATACCTCCCATGGCTGAAATCCCCTTCAAAAACTACCTAAATACCTTCCCGATGGCTTAAGATACCTCCCATGGCTGAAATCCCCTTCAAAATCAACCTAAATACCTTCCCGATGGCTTAAGATACCTCCCATGGCTGAAATCCCTTCAAAAACTACCTAAATACCTTCCCGATGGCTTAAGATACCCCCCATGGCTGAAATCCCCTTCAAAAACTACCTAAATACCTTCCCGATGGCTTAAGATACCTCCCATGGCTGAAATCCCCTTCAAAATCAACCTAAATACCTTCCCGATGGCTTAAGATACCTCCCATGGCTGAAATCCCCTTCAAAATCAACCTAAATACCTTCCCGATGGCTTAAGATACCTCCCCTAGCTGAAATCCCTTTCAAAAACTACCTAAATACCTTCCCGATGGCTTAAGATACCTCCCATGGCTGAAATCCCCTTCAAAAACTACCTAAATACCTTCCCGATGGCTTAAGATACCCCCCATGGCTGAAATCCCCTTCAAAAACTACCTAAATACCTTCCCGATGGCTTAAGATACCTCCCATGGCTGAAATCCCCTTCAAAAACTACCTAAATACCTTCCCGATGGCTTAAGATACCTCCCATGGCTGAAATCCCCTTCAAAATCAACCTAAATACCTCCCTGATGGCTACAGATACCTCCCCTAGCCGAAATCCCCTTAAAAAACAAAAATAACGACCGACCGGATTGAATGAGAGAAAAAAAGAAATGAAATCCTCCGTGAAAATTTTCATCCACGAAACGCGCGCGATCTGGCTCACTATGCGAAAATCATGCCAACCTCCGTCCCCCACCCCTTTTACTAAGGAAAAAACTTTCAAAGTTAATTTTAATAATTTAAACTAAAACTTTTTCATAATTTTTTTATCAGTTTGGGGGTTTCTGACCACGCTCTATCCGAATCCGAAGAGAGCTAAGCTCTAGCTCCTTTCCCCTTCGAGTTGAATTCGGCTTCACACAGACGGACGGACGGACAGACGCGTCAAGAAAATTATTATAGTTGATCCTCCGGACAGACAGACGGAAGTGGATGCAAAGTGGCACACACACACACACACACACAGACACTATTTTTTTATATATAGTAGGATAAACAGAATTCGGAGTTTTGAAATTCGACGTTATCAAAATTCCGTCTTAAAAAATTGGCCTTGGGGAAATTCGGCGTTTTGAAATTGGGCATTCAGGCGGTAAATCAATTTGAATAGCGAGGTAGCGCGGCACCTTGTCGAGGGGAGGCAGATGCGCCGATCCGGAGAGAGGGAATGTCAGGTTGCCGAGTCAAACCCAAACCGCAACTCGCCTCAGCTCTATTTCTCTATTGACGTGATTCGCTTCTTCGGATCGGCGAGTTCCGTAGCCTTGAAATCGTATATTTACACTTGTGCAACCAATAGTTATTTCGCGTTTTCGCGATGTTAGGAATCGAATAGCACATCACAAAATTTGGCTACGGTTTACTTTACCCCCCAGCCGAAAGTTTTTGGCTATAACCGAAGGCTCAAATTAAAACTCTTAGTATATCTTTGGACGCTCTATCGAATGGCGTTGCAAAAATCCCGACAAAATAAGCGAACATACCGAAAACTTCGAGACCCTTCGGCTGTGGGGGGGGCGGTAAAGTAAACTCTTACCCAAAATTTGTTTGAATAACTCTAGGGAAAATTTACTTTCCTAACTCTATTTGAACCCGAGAAGGGAAACAGTGAAAGTTGAAGAAAGTTTCAGCTGTCAAAAAAACTAGTATATTTTTTGATGCTCGATCGAATGGCGTCAAAAAAGCCGGAAAAAGCGAAAACCTTGAAAACTTTGGGACCTTCGGGCTGGGGGGGGTAAAGTAAACCGTAGCCAAAATAGCATCCAAAATTAGATTGTCGGCGCAATGGTTTTCCTTACATTGCCCTACATTGTATATAAAATTTCCTTATTTGGAGCTATTGATTTGAGGGGGGGGGGCATCTTTTTTGGGGCCCCAGGCTTAGGCTTAGCTTTCCGCTTTCGTACGCTTGGCTTAACTTAGCTTAGGCCTAGGCTTAGCTTAGGCTTAGCTCGGGCTTAGGTTTTAGTTTTGGTTTAGCTTAGGCTTGGTCTGGGTTTAGCCTGGCCCTAGCATAGACTCAGCCTAGACCTAGCTTAGCGTGAGCTTAAGCTTGGGCTTAAGCCTAGGCTTGGCTGAGGTTATGCTTAGGCTGGACTTGGCTTGGTTAGCTCAGGCTTGGAGACAAGCTTATCCCTGAAAAGTTCTGCAAAAAAGATGCTCCCCCAACATCAATAGCTCCCCTTGTTTTTTATCCTTGTATTTTATGGGTTTTTATCCTTGTGTTTTGTATAATGGGTTATAAACGTGACATTCGTTGTGTCGAAAGTCATCTTAGACAACACCCACGTTCCCGATGTTTCCATTCGGTGAACTTCCGTCAGCATTGATCTCGTCGGTCCTCGACCAAGTGTCCATCTGCGAACACATCACGTTGCAACGGGTTACCAGAGGATTACGGTACGTAAAAATCTAGAGGTCAACTTTCGGTTTCGGTTTCGGTGCTGTAGCGCCGCATTGCTTTTCATCTGGTCTGGTCTCCCAAGGGGTGACTTATTGTAACATGTTGGTATCTATGGCTGACGCGACTATGCAGCTTGCGACTGATAACAAGATAAAATCAAGCGGGTTTGTGCTGTGGGGGAACGGTCTTTTTACGCCGACGCCCAAATTTTCGGGATGGTTGGGAGGGAATAATTCAATTTGTGATGCCACGACAATTGCGCCCCGACCATTTGCGCCCCGACACTTGCGCCCGTCTGTTCGGACCGCGACACTTGCGCCCCGATTCCATAGTAAACTGCGCGGCGCAAGCGTCGTGGGCCCAAGTGTCGGGGTGCAAATGGTCGGGGTGCAAATGCCGTGGAGCCCAATTTTCTAGTTTCAAGTAGTGATGGGGTTATTCAAATCAAATCTTGAGTCAAATCTGAGAGCTCAAATCTGAATATTTGAAGGCAAAAATTTCAATTTCAAATCGGCGGATTTGATTTGAAATCCCGTGGACGAGTTCAAATCAAATCTCGAGGATTTGATTAAGCTTCCGGTCCTTAATCAAATCTTATTGAGATTCCGGCATGCAAAACATAAGAAAATCACGATGGCCGAGCTGCCAAGAACCGGAAATGACCTCGATTATGCATGCCATCATAAAATTAGCATCCTCGTAATGAGCTATTGATTTTTTCAACTCCTTTCAAATCCTCGTTCAAATCTTCAGATTTGAACTCAAACCTCGAAAGTCCAAATCAAATCGATTTGATTTGAAGTGCTGAAACCTTATTCAAATCAAATCGGCAGATTTGATTAGGCGGATGCAAATTAGATTTGAGATTTTAATAATACCATCACTAGTTTCAAGTAACAAAAATTTTGCCAGGATGTTTTAAGGGCGAGAGGGACTTTACAGGGTGGGGCAAAATTTCCTGGACTTTTTGTTTTTCCGCCATAAAAGGACGTAGGGGGAACCTGGGACCACCAAAGTCCGCGAAGCTGTAGAAGCAGGGATGGGGAATCTGACTTCATGCGCATGGATGAGCCGGGAGTCCGCGAGATTGATTAGAAAGGAGGGTCAGAAGTTGTCATTTTAAGCTCGTTTCTGGGCCGTTGGGGGCCATAGAATTTAACGGTGCATCGGGATGAAGCGGTTTTATGCTGCGAAATAGTTTAAAGCATGCTCGTCATGGTGGTCGATTTCGCAAAAGCCGCCGGCCGGAAATGGTGGTCGCCCGATTTCGGTATTTACACATTCTAATTTTTTTCGGCTGAAAAAAGCCGCTATCCCTATC